ACCAGGACATTCTTATCCTGATTGTTTGCAGCTCATCCTCCCAAGCCTGTAGCCTTAAGGCTTTAAGTTTGAAATTATTAATGATGGGCACTGTTCTGATAGATAGCATGCAAATGCCTGTAAATGAATAAATGTAAAAGCAATCTGTAGCCTACTGAAAACATTTTTTTCCTGTGTAGCATGTAGAATACACACAACAGGGATGATTGCATGCTGTATTTCTACATGTGCACTGTTTGCATGCTGTATGTATATGCAGGCAGTATATATTTATGTAGAGGTCTATAGGAACTAGGTACTTAAATCCATCCGAATTGCACTTCTTCATAGTTTTCATAAATATCCACTTCAAGTAACTACGTTGAACAATGGATTGCAGCAGGATCTGCCAGAACAGCAGTGTTTTCTTCATTTTTTGTTTCAGTCTGTAAGATGACTACAATAAATTCTTCAAGAGGAAATACAGAAGTGGTCAGTGCCAGAAGAACAGAATCACGTGATGTTTCAGATATTATCAGCCTCTTCAGCCACTTTACTGAAGTAGTTTTTGGAAGGATTGATGTCATGTACCTTTTGTAAGTAACAGTATTTTAGGGACATTATATTACTTTTCTTGCAGGAAATGTTAAAATGGCAGAAAACATTAAGAGCCTTTACGTGGTATGGCATAATGACTTTTTATGCTATTCACAAAAAGGGAAAGAAAACCCGCTTCCTCTTCTCTGCATGACTTTGTGCAAACTTGGATCACTGTTGCCAGCAAGGTGGGCAAGATTTGACTCTATACTAGCTTCCTTTTTATAAAAAGTTCAGAAGAAATACTTCTGAATAATATTTGATGAAACCATCAGATTCCAGTATCTGCTGTCTACTCCATCTAACAGAATCCTTTTGCCTGTTGGAGAGTGATAGAAATAGAGGGGGAAGGACTATGTTTTTTAATCACTGTGTGGCCATGACACTTCTGTTTTCTTTTCCTGTGTAGGTCTAAATCTTTTCCTTCTCTTCCCATTCTCCCTTAATGAAAGGAATTGGTTATTTGTTGCCTCTCTTTAGTCTATCTTGGGAGGCAGCCTCTATCCGCCATAAAATACGTTTCAATGTGCCTCTTCTTTTCGTGCCCCCAAAATACCTAATATTCTCCATGTTTTGACATCTGTATCCTAGCTGCTTGCATGGCAATGTCCTTAGCGGAAATGGGTGGTTGTAGAAGTCTTCTGTTACCATATCTTCATCACTGGAGATGGTGATGAACCTTTTGCGCTTCATCTTTCTGTGCAGTGATGAACAGCAGACAGACAGACTGCATGAAATGCTGATGGGTCACTTAGTGTTTTTCCACTTGACTTAATGGCAAATGCCTGAGATACCAGCTATTTGGGGAAAAAAATAGATGTATGAAGAAACATACAAAGAAGAGGGAGCATTTATGTCTTGCATATCAAATTCATAGTACTGAGGGTTTGAAAAATCATGTGAATTGTTATAATGTCACTATACATGTTATAATGTTATAATGCACTAAAATATTTGGAACTGAAGCAATAATGTCAAGTTAGGATGTGGGTAATGAAGTTTTATTGAGGTCCAATCCGGGGAGCACTTTTGAACATGGTTAATTTTGCTATTCTAACAGGCTGAATTAACAGCCAGTCACTTTTATTCGTGTAGTTTCTTCAACTTGTGCAAAATTAAATTGTTTTCACAGAGAAAAATCAAATCTTGCTTTGACACTCTGCAATGAGAAGAATGAGGCTATAGCCCATGCTGTCTTTCTGGACTATCCCAATTGGAACATCACTGATCAGTCTGATTGGGAATTGTTCTTACAGGAAAACTACGTTAACAATAAATGCACTGTAAGTAAATTGTGTGATTTTAGTTGAGTTTTCATTTAAGGCTTAGGTATGAAAAATATGCATAGGCATCTAAAATCTGTTTTAGGTAGATTTGAGGCATTCAGGCTGAAGAAGGTGATAATCAGATTCCTTACTAAATGTTCAGGTGCTCAGAAGTTCATGGGTACCTGTGCTTTTGCCACTACAGTAACTGAAGGTAACTGTAAGGATGGCACTTAGGGAACGCAAGTCCTTTCTTTGCCAGATATGTGCAGGTGTCTGATGCACTGTACTAGCACTGAGAGCAGTGTCAATCGTAGCTGTCACCAACATTTTTCATTCAAAGACGTGTCCAGCTCTGGTGTTATCTAACAGAACTGGGAGGTGGAGTCTTTGCTCTAAGGTCCTTCTCAATGTAAGGGAACAGGAATCCTCATTTTTCACCTTTTGGAATAAATTTTTTCTATTTCACAAAACTAAATGCAAATGTAATGGCTTCAGAGAAGGAATAAGGGACAGGGAGTGTACCCCTGCTTGAAGGATGGTGACTTACACTGGGTGAAGGACCATGCTGACCTGAGCATCTTGGTTCTGGAATAAGCTTGTTTGGTGCTTGTGTGGAGATGCTGCGCTCTGTTCTGTGTGGTGGCAGTTTTCATACAGGCTTCTCAGTTGAGTTTATGAATTACTCTTAGGAATTATGGACTAGAAGTAGGCACTTAGAAGTTTAGGATTCAAATGCTGTCCATCATTCAGCCCAGCTAGGGGCTAGATGCTGTGATTGTTGAGAAAAGATGGAAAATCTTAACCATAAAAACTCAAAAGCTAGGCAGCAGATGCCATAATAAGGTATTGGCAGTACAGAAATTATCTCTAGACAGTTTGTTCATCAGTTTTCCAATGTTGTTCTGGGAGACGTTAAGCAATGGCTTGCAGAAAAACTGACAAATACAGCAATTGTATTTGAAAATGCTGTGTACTGTTAAAAGAAACAAAATTATTACAGCCAAAGAGAGTATAGAAAAAAACCATGTAATTTTCTTGTAATCTGTTTTCTTTGTCACTTGAACAGTACTTTGTGTACAGGCATATAGCAGGCACAACCACTTCATTCACTGTGCAGCTGCAGCTGCTCCTGTTGGGTTATGCTGTGCTGTCAGTTCTGCAAGCTCTTCCTCAGGCAGCCTGCTTGACAATATCTATTGCATCAAAGCTGCAGCTGACTTCGGAGTGCAGGGGCATACAAAGAGAAAAGACGAAAAAAAAAAAAAAGAGCTTGAGCATGTTAGGAATTACTACTCATAAACATGAGTGAAAAGTACTTTGGAACATTGACAAGGAGCGGAAGAACTCTTCTTTTTCTAGAATGGAGATTATTTTCTAAAATACGTACAGAAGATTCAGTATGTGTTTTATGCTTCTGCACTGACAAAACAACTGAACCTATTCTGAGTTATAAATAGGTGAGATATCATTGGTTAACTGCAGGTTAAATCCATGCAGATGTGCTCTACAAAACTGAGATCTTCTGAAAATAGAATTTCTTAAAAATCTAGTTGACAAGTCTTTTTTCTAGAGCACAGAAATGATAAGATAGCTTAAAGGTCTAAATTAGGAATTGACTTGTGCAGAATATAATTAGCGAAGATGCTTTACAGGATTGCCAGGTTACCATCACTATTGAGAAGCAGTTACAGGCCAAGTCTTGCCTCCTGGGCTTCTTCTTGGACCTCAAGAACAAAACATTCTATATTCTTCCCCCCCGCCCCCTTCCTTTTTATTTTGCATTTTAAAACCAAACAAATGAAAAAGAAAAGTCTGATTTTTGGAAATGGCTTTTGATGTTTATTCATTGTAGTAGCTTGTTGTCTTTGTGCTGGTCCATATACTGCAACCTCTATTAAAGTCATTCTTGCTCTAAAGTTGCTGAAATTTATTGGTGACTCTCGCCATGACATTTTAGTTGAATATTAAATTATTCAGAAGACCTCAAGGTTTCCCATTTGAAATATTTTTTGTAGAAATGTTTCATCTAGAGGTAGACCTTCATTGACTCAGCACTTGAAATTATTATGCAGAAGAAAACAGCTGAATTGATAGCACTTTTCATTCCAGCACAAGGGTTTTTCTTTGCTAGTGTTTTCCAGGTTAACTGGAGGCATATAGGATAAAGATGTCCTTTAGTCTGCCCTGTTTCTGCCTGGATATTTAAATGTGTCTAATGATATAATCTTAAGACTTTGTATTTTTTCTTACTTCTTTTAAAGAAAAAGCATTTTAGGAGTATGGGAAGTATGTGAGCTTTTGGGTTTTTTTTAAACCTAGAAGGAATGTCTTTATCAGTCAAATGTTAAATTAAATGTTGTTAAGATTTTAGTTGTTGTGGTTAAATTTAAAATGTTGTTTATCTGGAATTAATACTGTTAAATATGAATATTGTAGTCAAACAATAGTAAGGTTGAGTGTAAATCAAAATATTACAGAAGCACAAATTGTGATATAAAAAAAAAAGTCCTTTCATCACATAACTTTATCCACACATGCTTTGATGTTACTTATATATGTGAAGCTACTCAATTTTGAGTGCAGATCATATATATTGGAAATCAATGTGCATGTTAATACTTGAGTTGACTTAATAAATATTAGCTGCATGGCATTTAGATTTTCATTCCTCATTTTGTAGCCTTTGAATACATTGTTCATGCATCTTTTTGTGGCAAAAGAAGAATATGCCGCTGGATGTTCCCAAGAAATTGTTAGGTGAGTTCATATGTAACTTTCTGTAGTGAAGCATGTGTACTCTCCTACCATCATTTGGAGAGGCTATGGAATTTAAAAATGCCTTCAGGTGATCACTGGATCAAAATTAAATATCTCTCTAAACAATCTCAGAAGGTAACATAACCTTGTATTAATCAAATGTGCACTGTTGGCTTTGAAACCAAGCTGTTACAGTTCCAGGCACCCTTCCCCAACAGTGTTAAGGTTTAGCTGTATCTTTGCTGTAATTTTGCACAGAAATAGTACTGCAGCTGCAAGGCAGATTGATTTTTCTTTTTCCTAAATTTCTACTTGTAAAAATCAAAGTGCATGACTGAGCAGGAAGCTTAGAAAGCTGTAGATGTCTCTGGAATACGCTTGTTCCCAGGTAATCTATTGATAGTTTGTTAGCTACAGATTATATGGTAAGGCTGCAAACTATACAGTGCAAACAGCACAATGTATTACTGTGTTAGCTCAGTACTCAAATATAACCATTGCTCAAGTTATTTGGTATAGCTCAGAATCTCCTTACATAAACAGTGAATTGCACTTGTTGCTGTTGCTGTTGAATTTACGGCTACCTTGTCATGTCAAGCAAGCTCATCCAGATGCCAGGTCAGAGATCTGCCAGCAGAGGTCTGGCATCTTTAATTTTTTCACCGCTGGGGAACTGATACAAAAAGGAGGATGTTTGAAATCTAAGGATTAGGAAATTAAGAGACAAATAAAGTAGGAGAACCAGTAAAAAAATGCCCAGATGAATTTCATATGATCTTATTTGTCATAAATGTTTTCATTTTTGAGCCATGTGGACTCATGAAGGCAGATTAGAGACACTGGAGAAAAAATTTTATATATTAAAAGACTAGCTGCTGTGTCTGATTGGTGGGTGTAATATTGAAAGACTGAATACAGTTATGTTGTTTGTGCAGGAGAGCTTTTATCACTGTACCAGAACTGCAGTTTATACTTCTCTTCATACCAGCCGATGAGAACTTAGGTAAGAATTTAATACTATTTTATTCTTAAAATAATGAGAACAATCTTAAATCTCATTATCATTAATATGCACTGTGATGGTAGGCTTTTTTGTGTGTTTTTTAAAATATTGAGAACAGTTACCATTTTCTAAACATGCAGAAAACACAATCTTAAAGTATCCTCTAATGGACATACCTCATAAAAGAGGTTTACGTCGTTACATGTTCACTCCAGCAGTCCATTCAGCAGTCTATACATTTCCTGCAGTCTTTAAATTTGTCAGAAAAAGACAGGACTTCGAACAGGAGTAAAGAATCTCGGAAATAAATTCCTACAAGTTTTATGAAGATTTCTGGCTGAATAGAGATTGAAATCAAGTAGTTATTTAGCCAAGTGAGTACAAGATGGGGAGAGGACACTTTGGTGAGGCTCAGAAGGGGTGCTGGAGACATGGAAGGAAACTAGGATTATTTCTTTTAGAGCAGAGGTACAAAGATGGAGAATGCACATCTTGATCAGAGAACAGCACCTGTCTTGGAATTTCAGTCCTGAATTCAGACTAATAAACCAAGCGTCTACCTAATGTCTGATGTTTTGCTTGGAGCTTTCCTTGAAGTGAACTGGAACCTTTTCTGATAAGCCAATTTCTAGACATCTTAGTTCCAAGTCATGCTAAAATCCTCCATAGTGATGTGTCAACTACAGAAAACTACCTGAAAAAAGGTTTTTGTCAAACCTACCCTAGCAACAAATGTCAACTTTGCTTCAGTATAATGAGTTCTGACAAAGCGATTCTCCAGTATTGGTTATATAGTATTGGTTATAAGACTAATATTTCTACAGGGATTTGATCCTACCAATTTCTGATTGCTTTGAAGCTTATTCAGGTTTGGGATGCTGAATTAATTTGTTAATTAATCCAGTAACCATTCTTTCACATGTTTATACTACTGTCATTTCAGCTTCATTCCTTAACGTAAAGAATTTGGAGCATTATGCCATCTGTGGTTTAAGTTCAAAACTCCATTTTCCTCACACAGTTTTGCTGATAATTTAAAAGCTTACATCATGAAGTTTCTTTGTTGCTCCTAACAGATTTTTGTCATTCACAGAGCCAAACATGGGAAATGTCTTTGAAAAGATGATGACTGCTCCAGGTTCAGTAGCAGATACAAACTTTACCTTGTTTGTGTGCCCCAGACATTGGTATCACCCACAGCTCTATGTTCGCAAAGCAAGGTAATGCAGTTTCTCCCTTCTATGAGCAGATCTGTCTGGATTAATTTGAAGAATTTTCTTTTTTGGTTTACAGCATCAGTATCTTAGTTAAACTGCTATGATTTTCCTTGATAACCTAATTAAGTAGTTCTATGATTATGTTGTTTTTATTCCACTTCATCACAAGATTAATTGTATTTTTTGTAAAACTAGTTTGTTATCTAGAAAGAATACATTTTTTTGTCGGTGATGTTTATTCTCTGAATCTGCTGGCTGAATTGCATCACTGCATCCTAAAGTATGAGTGCATATAGTTTCCAAGTCTCTTGAAGCGTCTTCCAACTTACTTTTAATTTTCTCGTGCTATGCCATATTCCAACCGGTTGAGCAAAGTCTGAATAGGAAGACCTATTGTCTAAAAGAATTAAATAAGAGCAGAGAATCCCTAGTTCCAGTAGTCCTTCAGACATGGAGAGGAACTTGCTTTTGTACAGTTTTTTTCTGCATAAGCACTTCATACATTCACTCTCGCTATGTTTCAGGGGAGCAGGCCTCCTCAGTGTTGCTAAGACAGCTTAAGAAAATAATGGGGTAACACTTTTTTCCTTCCATTGTGTCATCTGTTTCAATGGATGCAGCTTGGAGCAAAGACTTTGATGTGCTCACGTGATGTGTCTTTAACACAGGCTTGCTCTTGTTTTGGGATTCAAGTCATAAATGTCATTAAAAAAGTTAGACTCTGAATTATTTTTTTCTTTCCTATCTGCTCAGCTGCCTGCAGCGTACACCAGGCAGAGATGCAAGTTTCTCTAGCAGCCTTGCCTATTGATGTCTACCTGTATATTGACTATTACCACTCTTGTTTTTTCCTGCCATTTGAATTCTGTGCCTATGCCAAATCACAGCTTTCTACACTTGTGCCAGCATTGTGTACAGTAAATGAGAAACGCAGAGTTTCTGACCCAATGGGGCCTTAAGTTTTTCAGTATAGATCACTGGGCCATATATGCTGTCATTGCGGTGTAGATGCTTCCCTGTAGTGTGGTTGAAATATAACTACCACATTTTGGTTCACTTGTTTTCCTCTTTACAGTAGGAAGAGTGCATGTAGGGTAATGTTTTATGAAGTAATAATTTTATGTGGTTCTGATTCATTCTGGAGTTGCTTTTGTTTGTTCTAAATGTAAGTGTTGCTATGTGGTTATATAGCAGGATTGTGATTAAATTAGCATTTCTGTTCCTTCTAGTGGAAACTGAAGTTTAGGGAAAAGCACATCCCTGGGACACTATGTCATACGGTGCTGATTTGTCTGGGGGTCTGTATCAACCCACATGGTAAGAGATGGTAATGCCACATTAGGCATCTCTCTCTGCCTGGTAAATCCACACCTGGTTGTTTATGGGTTAATTCATGCTGACATCTCAGACTGGATTCTGACGGAAGCCTGTCTGTCAGAGTGATGTTTTACACATCTTTACATTTACCAAATAGGCCTGAAACAAATCTGCAGATTGTGCTCTTTATCCTATAGTTTTAGTCAATGTTTGCAATATCCTGTCACTTGACTTTTGAGCATTTTAAGTAAAAGGACTGAGGCCTGACCTTGACCACTTTGCACAATCCTGCTATAGGTCTGGACATTTCAGTATGTTACAAAATCATTTGCTTGCTAACTTGACCTACAATTTTTAGGCTTTTCTGGCTATTTCCTTTGAGTCGTCTACCATCTATCAGTAGGTGAATGAACCTTAATAGTCAGAAGTTATCAGTTGGTGAATTAATTGCTGAGGGCTTAAAGTTTTTCCATATGTCTTGATTCCAACTATTATGTTTGTCTTTTATTTAATTTGAATCATATTCTTTCTTTTGATAGCCATTGGATATTATCAATAGCAATATTTTTGACATGACTGGAAATGTCATGTAAGCCGTACCAATATTCCACATAAGAGATACCATCTCGCCTGGGATTTCTGTAGTTTGTTACGAATAATAAAAATTATTTACTTTAGGGTTTTTTATTATTAGAAAACTAACCAGGAAACTGTATTTTCTTTTAAATTACACGATATCTGGTGATATAAAATTCATACTTTAATATTGTCTATCAATAGATCTCTGAGTAAGCTGAATTCTGTTTGCAGTTGATGCTTTGCCTTTCCTTTTCCTCTGTATTCACCTTTGTACTTCACTGGCATCCATAGTAACGTTCAGTGGAGCCCTTTAGAGATTTATCTATGAAAGTTGTCCCCAGCCACCTGCCTAGCAACATGTTCTGGGTCAACGATAGGAGATTAGGGTAATCTCTGTTCCCTCTTCCGTTGCTTATGGGAGGCGGTGGAAAGAAGCTGTAAACTGATACTTTGCTTAACCATTAATTTTGAAGTTATTCTCCATCCAGCCTTTATAATGTGAAATAAATCTGTGGTGTGCCAGAACACAGTCCACTAAGGTTTTATACTTAAGTTTCTTGCTGATCTCTCATCTAGATCCTGTCATTCTTGGGTTTGTACCATATACGTAAGAGCTCACAAATTTGCAGCTCTGTGGAATGCCTTTATTATGCTTGTTCTCACAGTACAGGAATTTTGTAGTATTTTTATATTAAAAACCTCTTGTGTTTTTTTTGTAAAGACTGGTGCTGGTGGAAGATATTAAAAATAGAAAAAAAAATTAAAATAGTTCTGTTCCTACAGTTTTTAGCATGCAGGGAGATGAATGGGCTTGTGTGGAGCCTCATGTACTACTGCGAGGTCAGTCTCTCTGCATACCACGAGCCGGCAGAATTGCCCTCCGCATCTTGATGTGTGGCCTTGTGTCGTGTGTTTTACAGAGCAGAATGCTGTAAGGGACTTGGAGCAGTAAAACATTCAGTTTGGAGGTGGGGTGTGTGTATTATCTACCCCAGTGAAACAACAGGTTTCAATTAGAGTACAGTCTCATTCCTTTACCCCTAAATTAGTTTGGTTTGTTTGAGGTTTCATAACACATTATCAGATTTGCTATACTAATTAATTGTGCTGAAGTAGTGAAATTCTGATAATAGAAAACCTTACTGCAGCTTTTCCCTTGAGATACTGCCTGCAGAGAAGACGATGACTACTATTTTGGTTTGAGATATAAAGAATGTGAATTACTATAAATTTTTATAGGGTTTCAATATTCTTGGAACTTCATTTTAGTTGCATCTTTTGAATTAATTCTACAGACAATTAATTGATGGTGTGTTTTATTTTCTGTACTTTTTTCCTTTTGGAAACAATTTATTACAATGAAGATTCTCACTTAAACAGTGAAAAAGAATGAAAAAGTGTGGGGCTTGGAAATCTGTCACCCCTGGCAGCTGCGTTCAACTTTGAGTGGGCAGTGATGATATTCATCTCTACTGGTTTCTCAAGTTGGCTTTCTTAACTTAAAAACTGTATGAAAGAATCTGGCGACTGCCCTTCAGAAGAATAATTAAATTATTTAGAACTCCTGGCAGATGGAGTAGCATGGTGACTTGGGACATCCTGAAGGTCAGGAGTTAAGCATTTATTCACCCTGCTAAAAAGGCCATTAGTGGGGCGTCGGTAGGCGATACTCACCCCAGGCCATGGTGGCTCCCTTGGGGTCCATCCCACCCCGACATCCCGCCGGACCGACCCCGGCAGAGCGCGGTCAGGGTGGAGGGGTGTCCCGGGCTGTACCTCCGGGCTGGGTTGGGCCACGGGAGCAGCAAGGGTAAGAAGAGAACTTTCAGACAGATGGCCAGGGAATAAAAGAGCAGAGACAGCGTCAAAATAAAAGGGGTCACCGGCCCCTAGGAGAAAGGTAATCTTACTCAGAAGGTCACATTCATTCCGGCGTGTAGGAGCAGCAAAACCACCACCTAAATTGTCTTCCAGTCTTATGCTGGAGTCGCTCGGTACCTAGAAACTCAGACCATGGTTGATAAAATTCGGAATAATATTTTTTGGCCCAGTTGCGTTAACTTTTAAGGCTTCTTCTGAATCCAGAAACATGTAAAGGGTGGAAAAGAGAATCAGTTTATTTTGTTTTTCTGAATTGCTGCATATGCAGAACTAAGATTTCCAAGCTACAGGCACAAGTACTTGGATACAAGCACATACGAACTTGAGCAATAGGAGCCTGTAGCAAAACACAAGTTTTCCTAAAACTGAGGGAAGCGTTAATAATCGTTCCCGATAATTATCTTCGGAAACGCGTCTCTACAAGGCGTGAGGCTTTTAAAGGAGAGAGAACTATTTGAAACTATTTTTCTATTGACATCTTACTTTAGGGAGGTAGAGGAAAGGGTATCCCCCTCGGAGACTAAGGGCTTCGTGTGAAGCGGCAGTCGTGTCGTGGAGGGTCCACCAGCCGCGGCCCCGGCGGTGTTGGGGCACTGCCTCAGTCGCCCTCAGAACGGCGGCGGGCCCTCCAGCTCTCGGGCCAGGCCTGCGGCGGCCTCCGGAGGGCGGGAACGTTCCAGACCTTTCGGGAGCGGCGGGGTCCCGTCTCCTTGCAGCCTGGGGTCTGGATTTCGGAGCGGGAAGCCCCCGAGGGCTGGGAGGCGGCGGCTCCCGCCCGCGGCCGCGAGAGGTCAGGAGAGAGCCGGCGGCGGCGGGAGCGCGGGGGAGGCGGCCCCGCTGCCTGAGGGGGCTGCCGCCCGGGAAAGCTGCGGCGGGGCGTTCCTGCTCTTGAAACTGCCGGTCGCGGCTCGGCGGGAGGACAGAGCGTCCCGAGAGGCTTTCCAAAAAGGTCGGGCTCGGAGCCCTGCAAGTGGTGTAACCAAGGTGATGCCTCTTCCAAAGAGGAGGGTGCAGGCTGCCCTTGGCAGAACGTGCAGGTGAGGGGCTGGCGCTGACCCTCCCGAGGCGGTTGTCACCTCAGGTCAGTCTCCTGAGCGCTCTGTAACTGAAGGATGCAACCTGCTGTTTCAGAGGAGCCGATTGTGGCGGCCTCTGTTTCTTTCAGTAAGCAGAAATGTATTCCGGTGTTTGGTGAAGTGCATTGTTCTCTTGATTTAATTCCTTCATCCCGTGGGGCTCGTCGTTGTTCTTGTGTGTCCGTGTGTGATAACTGAGATTGCCAAAAGCATGTTCAGTAGCAGTCTGCTTACGGCTCTGAGGAGAAAGGGTTTCCTTAACTCCACAGTCCACAGTAAAAGTCATTCCTTCTGGCAGCACATCGCAGCCCTGGTTTTCTTGCCACTTCTTTAGCTGCAGAATTGTTGGTTGGACCACTTAATTCTCGCATTTTCAGATAGACAAAAAAATGGTTTCATCTTCTTACTGAAAGCAGTTCTGTGTTAGAGCTGGTCTGCCGCTGGCCTTTATGCCATGGTCGCAGCACATATGACTAACAAATTCCTTCATTACATTGGTGAAAGCACAGAAACTTCTTGTTAAGACTTACATTGATCCTTGTTAAGAATTAACATTTTTTTAAAGTGGTTTAACGGGAAAAAGTCTCTGTTGCCTATTTAAATGAAAATCTGTGCAGTATGGGGCTGACCTATATGAGTCTAACACTGCAACTTGGACTGATTGGAAATCGGCTCACGCAGCTTTTGCACCGTCAGCATGGAGAACAGACTGGAGTAGTAGAGGCAGTGAAAGCCTTGATGTGGCAGGTTCCCACCTATGCAGAAAGCCTTTCATGAGGCAGAGGGACAGAATAATTGCACTTTGGCCTTTGTGTCTTTTTCAATGGTGGAGCATTAACTTGACCTTACAAAGGCATAATGGCTCGATTTCTGCCAGGTGACTCCCGTGCTGCAGTGTGTAATAACAGTAATCTAGCCAATACTCAGCACTGTTTCTCCCATACAGGAAGGCATTATTTTCTTTCTTTTTTTTTTTTTTTAAAGAACTGATTTTCTAAATTGCACTGGTGTTGCTTTTTGAGATCTCTGCCAACTCTAACGAACTGATGATTGAGCTCACTGAATATAATTATTTTAAATGAGGCCTAAAGCCCAGGTCCACCTGGCCTGAGATACCTTAGGCAAGAGAATTTTGAACTGGGCTGCCCTTGTATTTTGTTAGGAAAAGATAAGCATCTCCACTGGGCAGTCCAGACTTTAGGTGGGTTGTACTGGCTTTTGGAGGTGGTTCTGCCTCTCCTCTGGTGCTGAGGCTGCCAGCTTAGTGTGCACTGGGGACGTGTCCTAGGTGAAATTATTTATTTGTGGGTGGGGGCTTTGGATCAGGTATTTGTAATATTTATCCATATGCTAATGGAGTGGAACAGAAGTGTCATGATCTATTAATGGCTGAGCTTTAGGACATTACCTAATCTCTTTTTTGTAGGTTGGAAGATTATGATGATCTCATGCCAATCTGGACACGTCAGAGTAAGACTCTGAAAGAAACCTATAGTGAATATTTCCTTGCTGATCTCATAGAATGTCAAGACGAAGAAAATCAGGCTGTTGTTTGTGAGGTCAGTCTGCCATGAGCTCTGGTTTTGTCTAATCATAACATTAGTGATGCCACATGTGAGTGAGAGCTCACGCTGCAGTGAATAAAAAGAACAAGCTCACTTTTGGAAGGTAGAATTCGTGAGCTGCACACACACAGCACCCTCCACCACGTATTTTTGTCTTTCCTTTCCTTAGGAGTGATATCTCCTGTTAAGTAAATGAAGCAGCAATTGCCAGTAATTGTGTAGATTCTTTTCAAGTAATTGTAACAGACCATCTTGAAGAAACCATGTTGCCATTTTAGACATTTGCATTATAGATGATCAGTTTTCATTCCTGGTGGAAATTAATATTGCATGTGAAAACTAGTAGCCAGTAATACTTTCACAGTTAAAAATGCTGTAGTTTTTTAACATCTCCTGATTCAGGCAGTCAGATTTTTGTTGAATTGAAGACAGAAACCCAGGAATTAATTTAAATAAGAAAGAGGTGGTAATAGTTATCCTGCTGAACATTCCTGTTAAGATTTTCATGTGTTAGTAATTGTGCGTGGTATTGTAAGCTGATAGGCAACATAACCTACTTAATTCCAGAAGTCTGCTTTCTATAGCAAATGATTTTATAAAACCGTAACATGTAATCACTACCGTTGGAAGCCAAATGGGAAACAATAAACCATTAGTGTAATAGCACATTACAAATGGCTACCTTTATAAATAATACATTTCAATTGTACATTTATAGCTCAATATGGTACCAGCGAAAGGTGTTTCAGGCCCTCATAGTTTATACTTGCCGCTGCTGCCACAAATTGGAAAGACACCTCCATGCGAACCAAGATAGATGCCAATTTTCCCTGCAGAGAATGAAGCTGGCAACCTCTTTTTGCACATATGGTAGATGGATTGGTTAATCAGCCTCTGCTGAGCCTTGGGCCTAAAATTACATAGCAGCCAGACAACTGCAGCGACCCAGCTTTTGTTCGGTTACGCAAACAAGGCAAACAAACAATCACTTGTTGTTTGAGGGCGGGGGGGGAATTAAACTTTTTTTTTTTTTTTTTTTTTTTTGGGGGGCTGATGGCCTGATAAAACTGCTATAAAAATCCAGCCACTGAGTTTTCGTTATGTTTATAAAGGAGGCTTTCATTATGTGTATTAAGGAAAAAAAAAATATATTTTTTTGATTATGTGTGTTTCAGCAGAAAGTTGCATATAGTACTAAAAATTAAAGAGCTTCCTTCTAGTAGACTCATCTTAGCTTAAAGCCAAAAAACCTCCGGCATGCCAATTCTCATTTTTCAGAGTGTATTTCTTTCTGAAGACTGTGACATTCTGGAAACTTTCAGTAATAGTCAAACATACAAAGTAACGTGCCATTTCAGCATTGCAGGGGTCTTGTCATTTTCATACTTGCCAGGGCATTTATTATTTTTTTTTTTTAAAGCCTAGTTCTTAGATTTTTTTTTTTTTCAGAACTTGAAAATATTTAGCGCTTGTGATTGCTGCAAACAATATACACTACATGCTGTATTAGATACTGTTTATATACTGTATAATTGCTTTCTTGAATTAATCATTTTTGTAGGAAAATAAAATATACTTTTCAATTTGAGCCTAATTTTATTTACAAAGCAGCGTCCAGTAATTAGTCAACCATTATGGCTAGCTAAATCCAGCTTTTACTTCAGCTGCATTTTAAGCTAAAGAAAAATTATACCTTTTTGGATGTATGTAGTTAAAAGTTACATGTTTTTTATTTACTGTAACAAATTGTTTTATTGAAACAATAGGTCATTATTTTGTCCATATATATAATTCTAATGCTCTCACAAGTCATAACTAACAAAAGAATTATAACATCTAATATAGAGGCCCTAATACACACATTACAAGGGGGGGGGAGAGGGGAAGGATCTTTAACTTTTGCTGAAATTGTTCCTTTATACTTTTCTATTATGCACAGCCAGAGATGGAACACCGTAACTTTTATGTTTCAGAATTTTTTTTGTTCAATTTTTTTGCCCTGACCTGAAATCACATGCTCAACCATATGTGTGATGTTGCTTTTATATTTTAGGATGCTGGCACTGCAGTAGGATTCATGAGCTTATGTTCTCAAGTAAATGTTTCCTTGTTTCAAGAGTGTTTTGACTTAGGGCCTTTCCATGGACTCTGTAAACCACATCCTGAAGATATTCTCAAAATGCCACAGAAGCCAAGCATTCAAGAAGGTATCTATATTCTAAAATGCTAGATAGATTTAAGCTGCATTTATTTCTAGCTTCTGAGTAGGTTTTGCAAAAGATTGTAAGAGGATATAGGTTCACTAGCAAGAAAACGCTAATGTATCTCTTCTGGAGATGGTTGCCTGGTATTTTTTAATTCAGGAGAGAAATTTTGGTAGCCCTGGTCTCTGACTCGGAAGTGATGGTTGGTTGTGGGGATCTGGTCTATACCAGGTATAGGAGAAACCTGTTTCAAGTTTTGGAAAGCTAAAGCATCAGGTGTATTTTCTATCAGTTAGCTACAGTGGTACTATTAATTGAAGACTTAGTTTTGAAATCTGGTTCTAATGTCTGTCAGTAGCTAAGCAGCTGGTAATTTGTGGCTATTATGTTGTCCCATTGACTTGTGTTGTCTTATTTCCTTGTGGTCCAACTTCTCCTCTCTTTGCTTATTGTTTGCAGTCTTCTAGGTTACAGGATTTTGGGAGATCAGGGACTGTCTTTTTATTCTATTTTTATATTGGGCATGATACAACAACGCATCTACAAGCCACCTTACTGCAAATGATAAAAACCAGTAACATGAATACATCATCTGTTTGTAGAACAGAAGTGTCATGTAAATGACTTACAGTTGTCATCTTTATTTTTCAGTGTCAAAAGGCTTTTTGTGCAGAAGGGCAATGGTTTGCTATCTACTAATTATCAGTAATAGAATTTAAAAAAACACTGTTAGGTTGTTATGTATCTGCTTGTCTGAACACAAAGCAGCAGGCAAAAAAGGCAACAAGGGAGCTACAGAGCAGTCGCCAGCTGGTATCTCGGAGCTGACAGTCATAGAACAGAAAAGGGAGAGAAAAAAGGTGTTATAGCTGCTCCTGTGGTCTTCCCCTCCCCTGCAAAGGAGCATCTTGCAAATAAGAGATGAAGGACGTCAGCTATCTCCTTCTGTATCATTCTATGCTCCTGGAGCTTCAGGAGTATTATTTCAAAGTAGATGACAGTCATGTGTAGAAACATAAATGAGGCTGAGGGAGGAAGAAAGATCACTCATGATAGTCCCTTCTGAAAACCAGTTGGAACACAGTCCTGGACAGTCTGCTTGAGGTGACCCTGCTTGAGCTGAGGGCTTGGACAAGATGACCTCCAGTGGTCCCTTCCAACCTTGACCATTCTGTGACTGATTTCTGGTTCTGGTAAAACCCTTAGACACTTTTGTGTGCTGTCTTTGTCCAGGCACTGCAAGCTGTAGGCCCATATTTTGTGGCAAATTCTGTGCTGCTGAGCCTTTTAATGAGTATGTGGTTATAGGTTCTAACAATACAGCTGTTACACATTTTTTAACATTTTTGAAATCTATGAGACTTGTTCTAAATGTGAAAACTTGGCATAAACAACTGTTCTGTTCAGGTTCTTATATGACTTTTCTTATATGACTATTGTCAATCTAGCATTTGAGTGCTTTTCAGAAATTTATTAAGCTACATGGTTTGTAGTATCACGTGTTTTTCTCCTTTTCCTCTCCATTTAAAAACTGTTAGTTTTGATGGTTGATACTAGTTTGCAATCCTGAGCACCTCCTTCAGGTAAGATTTTTAAAAGTAGTAGTATCCCTTTATTTGGAATGACAAGGGCAGCTCTGGGGAAAGAGGGAATTATTTGTAGACTTTTTCAGATAGCTTGAGCACAAATCATTGATGGTCTCAGACACCTGAGAAGGAACTTGAGTATCATAAGCTAAGAGCCTGACTCTGATACTATTCCTGGAGAGAAGGAGCCACTAGAAATTTAATATTAAAATTAGAGTTAGCTCATTGCTATACACTGCTCAGGAATATTAATTCTGTTGTGACTGAATAATAATTAAAATTATTGTTGTAGCTCTGCACATTTTAGAATATAAAGAAACAATTGTAACACTTTAAGAAGTGTTGGTTTTCCTGAAACATTTTAAGTTGTTGTTTATACCTGCCCAGTATGGCCAAAAAGAGAGAGATAAAGCTAAAGGCTGTGGTAGTTGAATTTCAGAGAAAGGAAAGAGGAAGAGGAAAAAAAATCAAATGTATACTGTTATTACTCTAATTTCTAATACCGGCTTAATAAGGCATTAGCTTGTCACAAGTTACAGAAGTTTGTTATGGTTTATTGAAAATATATGCTTTGTATGATAGATATTTGATAAACAGCTTTTCTTTTTACTGCTTGCTAAACATTTGACTTAAGACTACAAACACAAAGTCCATATTTTTTGAGCAGTTTGAATGAAAAGCCCTTTCCCTCTGAATGATGCGGGTTTCATTATTGCATGAGGTGTGACTCAAAATTCATTTCAGTATTCATTAATGAAAACTTCCAGGAAAAGCAGTAA